GGGGGGAAGGGGACATATGTAATACTTTCAACAATAAAGATTAAAAAAAAAACACACACAAAAAAAAAGACAAATCCGTAGAGATATAAAGTATATCAGTGGTTTCCAGAGGCTGGGGAGAAGAAAGAACAGGAGCGACTGCTTAATGGGTATGGAGTTTCCCTTTGGGGGTGCTGAACTTATTCTAGAATAGACCGTGGTGATGGTTGCACAACTTTGTGAATGTACTAAAAAATCTTGAATTGTGAAAAACAACTTCCACTTTTTACTTATTTATCTTTCTCTGTGGTTTGACACCCTCATTTTCTTCCTATCTTCCTTCCAATATTTTGTTATGAAGATTTCAACAAAGAGTTCAAAAAACAATTCAGTGAACAGCCAAATACACACCACCTACATTCAGCAATTAACATTTTGCTTTATTGTGCATCTATCTATTCATCTGTCTACCTTACTTTTGATGGGTTTCAAACTAAGATGCAGATATCAGTACCTTGGTCCCTAAAAATTCAGGCACATTTCTCCACATTTAAAGTTTTCCATGACTTTTTAAAATTTCCAAAGTAGCCCAGCTCAAACAATATAGAAGTGGGTGCATGGAATAGCAAATCATCCCTCTGATCCTGCTACAGTCACAATCATAGACAGTCTGGAGTAGATCCTTCCAACTACCTTGCTGGAAGTGTTTCCAACACTGACTTCAGCACGCACTCAGCATTTATTCAATGTTTACTGTGTGCAAATCACAACTGAAGCCAGAGTATGCATACAGGTGACATAAGCCTTCTTTACTCTCAAAACATTTCCCTAGTGTAGACATACCCTCTGGCACATTATCACTGATGACATCATGACAGTTGGTCGCATGGGTGTCCTTTAAGTTACCTGATTCTTCCCCTGTTCTTGGACATTTAGGTGATTTCTAGTGTTTTAACATCCTGGAAAAGCCAGTCACTGTCTCCCTGACACCTCGTTCTGGAGGGAATCTTCCCTCACCCATGACCCCTGCAGGAAGAGCTGGCCTAGGTCAGGGTTCAGCACACTCTGTAAAAGGCCACACATAAGCAGTTCAGGCTGTGTGGGCCCAGGCAGTCTGTCACAATGCCCCAACCGCTTTAGCACAAAAGCAGTCACAAACGTGGCATGGCTGTGTGGCAATAAAACTTCATTCATGAAAACAGGCAGGGAGCAGATATGACCCCATGGGCTGTGGTGTGCTAACCCCTGACCTCAGTTGTTAGGCTAGAACCAGGAACCTCCAATCCAACTAGAAGTGAATGACCTAAATAGGTCAATCAGACTTTGCTCCCAGGAAATGAAATCAGGACACTGGGCTACTGACTAAGCTTGCCTTGGGCTGAGCTGCGAGATCACGGAGTCTGAGGCTACACCTTCTGGTCACAGGCCAGAAGATGACAGTGAAGCATGCTAGCCAGACTAGAGAGGACAATAGAGCCAATGGACAGAAAAGAACAGAATGATAAAAACACACCAAGTTCTTCCCTGCCCCAAGCCCTTTGTACATGCTGCTTCCAGTGCTAACATGCCTCTCTCTCTAGCTCTGCAAACTGGACTTCCCGTTGTTCATTTTTTTTTTTTACCAATTTTATTTTCATTTTTATTGATTTTAGAGAGAAAATAAGGGAGAGAGAAACATTGACTTGTTCCACCCATCTGTGCATTCATTGGTTGACTCCTATACATGCCCTGACTAGGGATCGAACATGCAACCTTGGCATATGGGGATGATGCTATAACCAGCTGAGCTCCCCGGCCAGGCCCTGGTGTTCTTGATTTAAACGGCATGCTATCAAAGAGCCTCTTCCTGGCTGCCTTCGAAACTGGGAGACTCCCTCCTTTTGCTACCTCACAATTGACTTTTTTCCCCATTTGTTTGTTTTGTCTGTTTTCCACCTGTCATACTGGTGCATTCACTAAAGGCAGGGACTGTGGCTGTCTTAGTTGTTACCCCAGAGCACAGCCCACAATGTATAGTTGTGAATGAATAAATGAATGGATGGATGGATAGGTAGGAACCTAGAGAGACAAAGGCTAGAGGAGCACTTTGCCACCCCCAGTGCTTTTTTCCCATGAGTCCTAGTTACACCACCTGTACTCTTCGGCAAATTCCTTATATCTTGGTGAGCCTCTTTGTACCTGAGCAGGCCTCATCCAAGCTCCCAAAAAGGGCCTCTCTGTATATCTATCAAGGTCCTCATTCTGGGCTCTAAAACCTTTCCTAGTGGCACAGTGAACCCCCCTCATCCTCCGATCCCCTAAGTCAGGAGTGGGGAAACTTTTTCCTGCCAAGGGCCATTTGGATATTTATAACATAATTCGAGGGCCATACAAAATTATCAACTTAAAAATTAGTCTGCTATATTTTGTCAAACATTTAATTAACTCATCACTAATGCCTTGGCAGGGCCAGACCAAATGATTTTGGGGGCCTTATCCGGCCCACGGGTCAGACGTCCCCACCCCTGCCTAAGTTCTAGAAATACCTCCTTAAACAGTCATCAGCGACAAGGACCACCCAGCAACTTCAAATTCAGCATTTCAACCAGTCATTCTCTTCCTCTTTGGGGGAAATATACAAGATGGGCCCAGCATGGCCTAGAACTACAGATTCTTCTGTTTGAAACCTGAGTCTGTTTACTCCGAGTCTCACAAATTCATTAATAGCAGTATTGGAATTACAGCCTGAGGCTGGAAGGAAAACCAAAAAAGGGCATAAAAACAAACAAAAACTTCTTTAAGTGTACAAAAACAGAAACAAAGTCTGAAAATACACTTCTGCTGGGTTCCAGCAGGCAGGAGCAGGACCCAGGAGCACACTGGCTTTCCAACCACATTTTTCATCTTGACAGATGCCAGATATACACTAAGCACAGAAGAGCTGGCAAGAGGTGACCAGGCCTCAGGCTCAGGGAAAGCATCTCTTGGCAGCTCCCGGTGACACACCAGGCACAGCCAGGACTTGGAGAATGCCACATTTCAATCCACTCTCCAGCTTGGACCATGGTGGCATAGCTTAAACCTGTTTTCTCTCTAGCTTGGAGAGTTCTTATTTTGATAGCAGAAAGCATGACACCAAAGTGTAGACTGAGCCCAGCCAGCGTGGCTCAGTGATTGAGCATTGACCTATGAACCAGGAGGTTGAGCTTTGATTCCCGGTCAGGGCACATGCCCAGGTTGCCAGCTCGATCCCAGTGTGGAGCATGCAGGAGGCAGCCGAACAATGATTCTCTCTCACCACTGATGTTTCTATCTCTCTCTCCCTCTCCCTTCTTCTCTGATATCAATAAAAATATATTTTTAAAAAACAAGTGTAGACTGAGATGACAGAGAATGACCATCAGGTGGGTCATTCTGGAGAATGTTGCAGAGGATGACAATGAAAGAGATGGGCAGGCCCGACTTACACGATCATGCAGAACATCATGAAAACGTTCCACAGGGCGATGAAGATTCGGAAGTACCTGAGGCTCAGTAGGAATTCCCGGATGTTGTCACCTGGAAGGTCAGAAAGCATGTTTACAAGTACTGCTAACTTTCTGCTGTCACAGCTGCAGGTGCTTCTGCAGTTTCTGCCCACCCCAAGCCCACTGCCCTCATGTTCCACAGCGGCAGCTCCATTTTTCCTTTGGGTCTCTTCTGCTCCCCAACCCTCAGCACTCAGGCTGCCAATGACCAATCTCCCAGTCTGATTGGTGAGGAAAGAGTAAGTGATCCAAGTATGTATGCCCAATGAGAGTCAGCCCTGGGACTTTTGCCCCAACTACTGTTTTCTGCCAGGCTCCCTGGGCTGGGGTGGAAAGATACAAGCAGTGTCCTCTAGGACAGGCCATCGGCAACTTAGGCTCAGGAACTGAAACCAGCCCCTGCCACCTGTTTCTGTGTGACCCAGGAGCTAAGAATGTTTTTCCTATTTTTTTAAAATATATTTTTATTGATTTTTTACAGAGAGGAAGGGAGAGAGATAGAGATTTAGAAACATCGATGAGAGAGAAACATCCATCAGCCACCTCCTGCACATCTCCTACTGGGGATGTGCCTGCAACCCAGGTACAAGCCCTTGACCGGAATCGCACCTGGGACCTTTGAGTCCACAGGCCAATGCTCTATCCACTGAGCCAAACCCGTTTCGGCATTCCCTATTTCTTAATAGTTAAAAAAAAAAAGTAACAGAGTATTTGGTGAGATATAAAACTTACATGAAATTCAAATTTCAGTGTCAACAAATAAAGTTTTATTGAACAAAGCTATGACCATTCGTTTACATATTGCCCATGGCTGCTTTCCTGTTTCAATGGCAGAGTTGAACTGTTGCACCAGAGATGGCATGGCTTGCAAAGCCAAAAGTATTTATAATCTGGCCCTTTACAGAAAAGTGTGCCAAGCCCTGCTCTAGGGTCATCTTTGCCAACACAAGCCAGCCTGATAGTAAAACCAACCTAGAAGGGAAAGGAGAGCTAGAGACAGCCACATGCTGGAGGGCTAAATCAGGTGTGCCTGAAGACAATTCTATCCTTGGGTGTTTCAATTTGCTTTTACCACTCTGAGATGGGATTTTAGTGTTTGCAACGAAAAGCATACTAATTTGGGCAAGTATAACAGCAGTTCTGCTTTGGTGACGACTTACTCTAGTTCCCTCTGCCGCCAAGGAACAGAAACCACTCCAAGAGGAGGCCATTTGGTACATTAAGACTCCAGAGACCTGTGTTCCAGAACCTTCCTCTTGGGTTTTGAGTCATTTTTCCTCACCCACCCCCAACCCCAGCCTCCAGAATGAACTTAACTGGTCCAGGTCAGGCAACCTACAAGGGTGCAACCCAAAGTGTCATCTGGAGATCACAGCTCTCTGGTAAGTACAAAATACCGGGTAGGAGCTCTTTTCGCAGCAACCCAGCACGACAGTCACCTGTTACTGGTACTGCTGTGCCATCCTACTGCAGGATCAGCACACAGTCTTGTTAGCCAGTATCATCCACCACATGTAGCTGGCCGTGTGTGGCACAGCCTGTGACCTAGCATGGGCTTCAACTGACAGAGACGGGTCTGTCCAAAGGATGTCTGAGAGGCACCGCTTGGCAAGGCCCTTCTCTAAACTGAGGATCATGTAAATGGGCTCTTCTGACAACAGATGCTGATTAAGGCCACTGGCTCCAGGTAGGAGCCTGGTGTGGGAGACACAGGGAAGAACAGACAGGTGTCCCTGCCCTAAGGAGCTCACACGGGAGGGGTGGGGGGAAATACTAAACAAGCACACAGCAGGAAAGAGCTAAATAAGCTGGAGTCTCTTCTCTGGAGCTTAAGGTCAAGTGTGAGGGGTAGAAATTAGCCAGATGACAAAATACATATAAAGAAAAATAATAACTGTAGGAAGTAATAAGAGTGCTGACTTATGCACGGAGATCTGGCAGGTAAAAGAAGTGGGTGACAAGTGGGCAAGAGGAACATCACATCCTTGTGCCTCTCTCTCTCATTCACACACACACACACACTCTCTGGACCAATTCCCGAGTCCAGAAAGGAGGCTTTACCTGTGCTAGGCTCCCTGGACTCCTCCCCAAAGCCATGCGAGTCCTTCTTTTTCCTACAAAGAGAAGCAGTCAGTGTCCACTTTCGATAGGAGACAAGGACCGCTCAGTCCCTGGCATCAGAGGGCCCTTCAGCTCTATCGCTGACTTGCAGTGTGACCTCGGCGGTTCAGTGACCCTCTCTAGGCGCCCACCTGCCCCACCAATTACAGCCATCGACAAAGTGGAGAAGGTAACCCGTGGGTACAGTTTAGGACTAAGAGTTTCTTGGGGAATGGGCTTGGGGGCCTTCGGGGTGCGAGCAGAGGGATGCCCGGAGAACGGAGAGCCAAGATTTCAAGCAGCGGTGGCGCGAAGAGTCTCAGGGACAAGGACTAGGCTGCAAACCAGTTCAGAGGGTTGGCTGGGACGTGGGTGCAGGGCCTGCGACGTGGGGCTGGCTCACGCTCGCGAGGGCGGGCTACGGGTGCCCGGGTGGAGCAGCGGTCCTTTGCGGCCTACTCACAGCTTAAAGTTAAGCACCGCTCCGGCGTTCATCAGCAGCGTTCTGCGGAGGAAGAATGCAGTTACCTAGGCCGCCCCCAACCCTGTCGGGCCCTACTTCCCCGGCCTCTAGTCCCCTTAATTACCCGAAGAGCAGGATGTCTCCGATCATCTTTACAGCCGAAGTGTCCGACAGAACCGGAAGCGGAAGTCTAGGGAGGGCGGAGAGAGGAACACGAGACGACCAATTGTGAAGCAGCGCTGGCGAGGGCTGAGCCAATCGAAGGCCAAGGCAGGCAGGGTCCCGCCCTCTGCAGGCCCGACCCTCTTAGGGAAGAGGAAGCGCCTTTACTAGCTGCAGAGGCCAGGAGCGTAGCGGAGAAGGGCCGGGCGGTCGTGTGACGTCATCTGTGGGCGGGGCCATCCGGGGATGGATTAGGTCACTCTTGGGAGGCGTGCCCCACTGGGGGTAGGGACCCGCGCGCTGGAGAATTGGCTCCCGGCTTTATCTTCTGGAATGGAATCTCAGATGGGGCTTCTGAGAAAACGGCGCCCAAGACCACGGAGCAGCACAGAGGAGTGGGTCCTGACGCAGTGGGCTGTCTGGGGCACGGACGCCCCGACTGATTGGGGAGGGTCCTCCGGGGCCCCACGAGAGACGCGGATCCCCACTGCCTGTGGCGGGGGACCCTACTGAGCGGTCCCTTTGGAGGACGGAGGTCCCTGTGGGGGATGGAGGTCATAATGTACGGAGTCACATGGAAGACTGGGGTCGCGACAGCTGCCTAGCGGACGAGGTCCTGACTAAAGGGACCCCCTGAGGCACCGGAGAATGGGGCTCTCCGCTGATCAGGCCCCACGAGGGATGGCGGTCCCGACCCGAGGGCTCCACAGAGGACGTGGGTCCTCATCGAGCACCACCTGGGCGCGGTTCTGAGTGACCCGTCCCCGCTAGGCGGGCTCCGAGCGTGAGGGACCCCTCCCCAGTGGACAGCTCCCCTGCCCAGCTCACTCCACCGAGATCAGCACCCGTCTCGCTGGGCTGAATGGAGTCGTGAAGGCTCAGAGGAGGGACAAATTGGGGACACCTGACCGGCCGGGCTGCATGGGACAGGACGGCCGCGGGACAGCTGTCGCCCCTCCTTCCGCGCGGGGC